AAATAAATAAATAAATAAATAAATAAATAAATAAATAAAAATTTCCAAAATATATGTAGTTACGTACTGTAGAGAGGTGTTGAGAATCAAAAGAAACTTAATAGTACAAAAAGTACTAAAATAATAAAATAAAATAAAAATAATAGTACAAAAAGTACTTAAAATTACAGCAAACAGAAAAGAATATACATGTAATTTATCATGCATTTGAGCCTGGATCTACCTTACAGTGTTCATGTATGTCTGTATTACGTTAAACATTACATTTAGGTTGACGAGTTTCATGTTAATGACAAAGTGCGTGTAATGAAAGATAAAGAATTAGTCAAGAAACTACAGGCTGGGCATGGAGAGTGGGCCAATGAAATGATTGTGGTAAGTATTGTGATATCTGTGCTGGAAAATTCTGATAACTGACCTGCTACATTGTAGGTGTTGTGTTGTGGTAAAGATAAAGTCTGGGCCAGGCCAAGTGGTCTATACAGCTGGAGCTTATCCTGGTTTCTGTAGCATGATACAACTAGGAGTCTTTCTACTCCCTACTGGATGAGATGCTAGTCCATCTTAGGGTTATCCCCAGCATTAAATTCACTGGTACCCGTTTATACACCTGGGTGGAGAGAAGCAATGTGAGAGTAAAGTGTATTGTGTTTAGAACTTTTTGGATGGACTTCTTATTGACAGAAATATATTTTTACTGTTTTGAAGTCTGTTAAATTTAAAGTCTGTCTTTAGCCTTGGGGAGCATAGCAGGTCTTACATGTAACTCCACGCAGCCACAATAAGGGTCTTTCTACTATTCCCTACAGTGTAGATGAATTGGTTGGTCTGTGATGTTGTATTGATATAAAATTATAGCCAATCTAAATTATGCCTCAATAGGCCTTAGACAAAGTTGGTAGGGTCTTAAAGATTTACTCCGATGGCGATGTTAGAGTAGCCATAGCAGACCATGCGTGGACTTTCAATCCAGCAGTACTTGTAAAGGAAGCATCTGCAGCCACGCCTACAGATCAACAGCCACGACAATCCACATCACAGCGTGGAGAGCTCCAAGGGATCCTGCAGCCATCCCCTTCATCGACATCATCTTCTGCACAACGGCAGCAGCATCCATATTCAACAGCTGAAGAACCAGGACAATCTCAACGGTCACAAAGGGAAATAGGTAAAACTTGTTACCTTTTAATAACCGAGTTTGAGGTCCATACTATAAGATATGGACCACTTTTTTTCCCCTTTGATTTACATGTATGGCCCAAGTGTGAAGGACACCGGCCATAAATCGAAAAGGGAAAAATGAGGATCCTTAACTTACATTAGGAGCCGAGAAGACAAGGTTGATAAGATATTTGTTATGTCAAGCTACTGTGTGTCAGGAACGATTATTTTCTATTCATGCGATAAGGCTACAAATTTTTAGCAAACATCGAAAGTAAAACAAGTCAAATTGAAGTGGTTGTAAGTCATTAGCATGTTTTAATAGTACACAAATGTGTAAAGTAATTTTTTAAGAAAGTTTCAAACTTTTACTTACTTGGCAATAAATCATGAAACATTTTGGCAACAAAAACAGCTGAAATTTTACTGAGTGTGCCTACTAACAGTAGAATACAGCCTGCTAAATTGACCAATTACAGTTTGTACTTGCTTATACAACTGTTATCCCAGCCAATCTCTATCGTTGTCATAAACTTTTACTATTGAGTTTCAGTGATAGGATTGAGTTCAAAGTTCTTATTTTCATGCTTGTTTTCCTTGTAGACCAATCGCTGAGTTCTTTGTTAGATCACCTGCGTATTAACAGCTCAACTGACATTGGATCGATGATAATCAGCGAAGCAGGACGAGGAAACTTGGACAAACTTAAAGAACTGTTACATATTCATCCAGATAAGGTATGATACAAGTTTCAATTACTGCACGGTTTGTATGGGTGATAGAAAACCTGGAAAGTCATGGAATTTTGTAGTTTCATTTTCCAGGCCTGGAAAGTCATGAACTTGAAGTGTGGGTCATGGAAATCCATGTAAAAGCAATATACTTTCTGAGAATAAAATGGCAAAAGGTTAAAGGTTGAAAAAGTAACAGGTGAGTCAGAAAACCGGTTTTAATCCTAGTGAAAAATAGACACTAGCACGCATTCTATGCATCATAATGTGGGACAATGCCTTAATAAATAACCCTAATAGATTGTTTTGACAATGCTTTGAGAACAACTGCTTATCGTAGATCATGGAAAACTCAGACAGAAAGGTCGTGGAAAAGGTCATGGAAGTCATGGAATTTTAACAGCTCAACTGAGTACGAACCTTGAACTGGTTGCATCATTGTACGCCAGTCATATCAATGTGACAAATATGTTGACAGTTTCACGGTATATTGGTTTAACTATTTTTGTAATATATACATGTACATGTATATGCATATGTTATTGACCTGGGTTGCGTTGTTTAAGCCCAATTAAGCTAACCAAGGATTAGCGGGAATTTTGATTTCAGCTTTGCAACGTTTCAGTGAGGTTTTCTGTTTATAATTTAATGTTCGTCTTTTAATTTTGAACTTGAATATTCTCAAATTACACAAAACAGAATAAGTGAAAAACATTTTTATACAAGACAATTTAAAAACTTTGGTTAACTTTAAATCCTGGGTTAGCATTGACCAGCTTCCAAACAACACTGCCTTGGTGTCTTAACTTATAAAATCGATGTCTTTTAAGGTGAACATTGTACGATCAGACAAGACTGCTCTGCAGATTGCCAGCCACCAAGGTTTTACTAGAGTTGTGGAGTTTCTTCTTCAGTTGGGTGCAAATGTCAATCTACAGGTAAGCCTGACCAAATTCTGACGAATCATTGTCAACCGACGAAACTGAAAAGTACAAAAAAAATTGAGCATGGCCTCGCTTGCTAGAGAACTACCCTCACATGGATGACCACACTAGAAAAAATCCCAGTACTCTACTCAAGGGTTCAAACCATTCACAGTTTCATCAAGTGAGGGAAAATGTCAAGGAAACCTCTCTTTCACAGCTTTCACCATTATAGATGTATGTGTTCTGCTGTTAAAATATTGATCAAGTTGCTTGCTATCTACAGGACACTGAAGGTGACACTGCTCTTCATTACGCAGCATTTGGGTGAGTATAGTACCAGGGTAACACAATGAACAAGCCAGAGTAATGCAATACTCAGTAGAAGATATCTCCTGAGAAAGCAACAAAATTGCAGGCTTGCCGTTTAGCTTGTTTTGTCTATTAGAATTCACGCCTACGGATCTTGAGTTTGAACAATTTCATAGTTGTTATGCATGTAAGCATCGTCACGCAACGCTTTTCAAGAGTATTACGTTACGCTTTCGAGGATTGTTGCGTGACGTTTCGCGAATATTTTTTTGAGTTTATTATCTTGTGTAAAAATATTTAGAAATAATGACTGTTGACAAATGATGCTCGTTATGCTGTTTTCTATGTTAAATGATTTTTCACTTGACTCTTTGTTGAACTGGTATTTTACCCAGAAATCAACCTCAAACAGCTGCAGCTCTGCTGAAGGGAGGGGCAGATGGCAATCGACTCAACAAGAACAAATGTTCCCCTCTACATGTTGCTGTCAACAAAGGCTACACAGAAGTTGTAAAAACGTTTCTCAGCTCTTCTTGTAATGTCAATGCACAGGTCTGTACTGTACACGCACTCTACAATACATCTTTGTTTATCTTTGATGTTTTCACAATGTAGAAGCTGTATGAAATGAATGAGGAACAAAGTTAGATCTCGTAATTTGCTTGTGTTCCTTCATTACAAGTTCCTAAGAAAAATGGCACATCAATCTTTAGTTTTATAGTTTCATAGCTTGCAAAAAGTGTTTCTATAGACCTAACCACCATTTCTAAAGTTCTGCTTCTCGCTGCTCCTGTTGTATTCTCATTAAAATGATTTATTCACAGGATTCATATGGCGACACTGTTCTCCATGATGCTATTNTATATATATATATTTAGCTTTAGTAAGTTTTAAGACCGATAGGCACACACAACAGTTCTAGCTATATATAATTTTTTTGTAGACGCAGTGTTTGGCGTCCCTAAAAAGATTTATCCCAACATTTTAGAGCGTTTTAGGGGATATTAAGTTGCAGCCTTTTAGTGGACAAATGAAAGACATAAATTATGTGCAAAAGGCTATTTACATTAACGTTTAATATTACTGAACAACACCTGTTCTCTTGCTCCAAATCATTTTTATGTTTGTTAAATAAAGCAAGCATTTTCTAGCAGTTGTTTCTATTTCACGAAAAAAAAAATTAGAAAGTTGAGAGAATCCTATGGTTCTTGTTGTTGTTGTTGTTTTAAAGATAGCAATTAACGGTTTCCAATTGACTGTTATGTCACGCAACTATTTTTACGAAGTCACTTCTCAAGTTTCAATATAAGATCTAGACTTCAGCGAATGTTATAGTCATTATACAAAACAAGCAAAATCTAAAGCATTCTACACAATCCTGCGTCACCATAAAGGCGAAACCAATTTGGAGAAAAGTTCTGTATTGACGTGATGAGGTTTTCCAAGAAAAAGGCTGTAATTGTTTTGTTTTGCTTTGCTTCAGGTAAGAAGTCAGTTTTCTGGGCTTGAATTGAAAAACAGAGAAATAACATGTCTAGAACTGCATGAAGAGTCCATTAGAAAAAATAAACATTGTCATATTGCTAATTTAATGCGCGCAATATTGAAGCAATGTAGTGCACATGTTTTGCAAGCATAACTTGCATTTTACAGAGATATTGGGCAACAATTTTGTATTGTTAAAGAAATGTCTTAAGCTCGACAACTCAAATATCTGGCCACATTAACAAATCACTCAGTTCCCTGAGCATTCCACAATCGTCCCGATTTGCACACTGTCTGCGTGATATGAAATTCCGCATTCTACTGCAAGCTGCTTTGGATCTGACCGCTGTGAAAGAAAAATGAGATTTCCATTCGGGTACTGTGGCTTGAATGAGAATTCGGTGAGCTCTAGTCTCGACATAAGCTTCTTTTAATTATTGACCGAAAAAAAGAAAAAAAGGCAAGGTTTAATATTTTCGTCGTGGCCTAGCGGATGTACAGCAAAGTGCATTTGCATACGTCACAGCTCAGTTTAGAATACAGTAAAACCCGGGTGTAAGAAACTATATTTTTTGAAGTCTGGCAAAACAGGTTCTTGTATTTTGGGGTAGTTATTGGCAATTTAGGCTAAGTAGATTCTTAAATAGGTACTTAATTTCTATGAAGGCGATATAGTTGTTGATTACCAGAAAAATAAATAAACTTGGGTTTGGTCACCAAATATACAGCATTTATGCACACCTGTATTAGGTATTTTCTTGTTATATAAATTTACAATCTTAAAGTCACACTCCTTGGTCAAAATATCTCTCATCATTTTTAACTATAACCCACATATTACACCCATACTGGGTCAAAATTTCGCCTTATTTGCATATGGTAACTGCAGAGACTTACCCATGTTTTATAAGTTTTATTCCTATGAAAAGTCAATTTCGAGAAAAAATACGGCACTTTCCGTTGAGAAATTTCCGTCTCTTGTACTATCCAGGAATGCGATAATGTTGCGAATTTCCACTGTATTACCTGCTAAGTGGTCGCTTACGGAAGGGTAAAAACAAAAGAAAATTTCAAACTTTAGGCTCTGAAAGTGGTCGCGGTCGCTGACGAGAGGTGGTCGCTTACAAGAGATTCTTAATATAGTGATTGTCTTGAAAACTTTTGGTATTTTGGAAAACTGGTCGCTGCGGAGAGTTGAGGTGGTCGCAACCGGAGGTTCGGCTGTAGGTTCTTACAGACGGGTTTTTACTCTCTTGTCTCAAGACTTGCTTTAATTTGGACTTAAAGTACTTCAGTTTAACCGGTTCCAGGTTAAGGAAGGGAGAGCTTTTATTTAGTCGCTTCTTCCAGCAGCAGCTACGTGTTATTCTGTCGACAAAACCATGGACATACTTAATATAATTAGAGAGTTTCATTTTCTTATTATAAATAAATAATTAGCTGCTTCCTATATTTTGAGGGAATCAGCACTAGTTTATTGAGAAAACAGCGACACGTTAGTCTCAGTTCAATTAGCAAACAATATACTCTTAGCTCTTTGCGAGTGTGTAACTGCAGGCAACGGCTGTAGAATGGTAAAATGAAAGACTCGTGTTTTTCCACCCTTTCTGTAGCCTGNCCTCCCCTTTATACGCCTGCTACGCGGGCTATTTTGGAGGTAATTTTGTACACTGCGAGAAACACTCTTTGTACGATGGCATAACTCCTCCTAAACTTACACCTCGAAGGCTCAGTTTCCCGCCTGTTATTCGTGTCTCGATCGTCTAATTCTATTCAATGATATGAGTTTTATTTTAACAGTGTGGGTAAGTGTGGAGTCGATGACAGAGACCCAGTCCCTGCGCTCGATACTGAACCACTTCAACAGCACAAGAAATGTCTACATTGACCCCGTGGCCAAACAAAGGGCACGTGATTACATCGTGAAATCGTTCATGGATAACGGACTGCACACATGGACTGAAGAATTCCCTAGCAACCAAAAGAAGGTAAACGCAAAACGTGTTTCTTATAGTCTGCCGGGGAAAACAAACGAACAGGAAAATAAACAGTTTTCTTCTTCCCAAGTTCATGCAGTTCTTCCTCCGCTAGACAGAAATCTTAGAACTGATCCCCAAAAAATCATACTGGCCACTCTCGCAAGCGCCTGCTATATTCTCTGGGTACCAGAGGTTTTTCTTGCCCGATTTCCGGTGTTATTGTGACCCGCGCGAAAAATGAGGTTTTTCTCGCGGCTTCACCGCTTGTGCCGGCGTCCCCACCGAAGCGAAGCGAAGTATTTCCGTCCGCAGCGCGCGAGAAAAAAACCTCTGGTACCCAGGGTACCTGTTATACAGCCAGTCCAAAGAAAAAAGTATAACCGTATAGCGCTGAACCTGGTAAAACTGAAAGAGGTTATTCGACTGGTGTGCACGTGTTATTTATTTTAGACTACAACGAAGCGGAATTACACGCCAGTGCGTGCACGCCTCCAGGTGAATTTAACACGCACTGACTCGCCTCGTTGCATGGCCTTCGCGCTCTTTCTGTAAATGGTCTCGAAGGTTTGGATAAGTTGAGTCTCCCGCCTTTTATCATACCTTGTTAGGTTTGCAACAAAATGAACCAGCTGCTCTATCACAAATCATGTCAAACTTCTTGCTTTATTAGTACCCAGGACTGAACGTGGTTGGCCGTCTGCCAGGTCGCTTCACCGGAACTAGTGATGATAAAATGGTTTTGATTGGTTCCCACTATGACACGGTTCAGACTACTCCTGGTGTGGATGACAATGGCTCCGGAATGACGGCTTTACTGCAGGCTCTTAAGCTCTTCACCAATCCAGGTCAGCAGCTTAATGAGTGCAGTCATGGGAACAGAAGGTTTCCTTAGTCGTATTGTAATCGCATTGTACTCGCGTTTAATTGTATTATTGAATCGAACTAAAAGCGATTGCTGTAGTAATACTCGCGGGACGTGAAAAAGATTGTTGATTCCATTATGGGTTTGTTACCATCATCAGAAATTTCCATGTCAGAGGGTTAACTATTTAACCTGCAAGTGGTTTTTCTAAACCTGTATTCCGCGCAGGTTTCCATTGCAAACGTAATGCGAGGTAAAAAATTACATGACTCGCAGCATCCACAGAAAAATGGGGTGGATTTTTTTAAGCGGGGCAGAATAGAGTTCCTGGAGCATAGGTGAGAATAAGGCCGTGACTCGGACGATTTAATTACCTGGGTTTTGCACTGACCGATTTAATTACAAGTCAATGCATGGATATTTCCGTGGAATTAAAAGAAATGCTACTATTATTGTACGTACTATTCTGCGAGATCCTCCATCACGAAGCTGGTAAGCCAAGCCAGGAGCCCATCATTAGGAGAGTGCAACTATCCCATATTCCTATAACGGCGTTTTCACAGACCGATCTATTTTTATTTTGAATTTACCGCGTCTTCAGACCCCTGCAGGAACCTCAGTGACCAAACACAAGCACGGACTTAATTTTTAACTGACATCGTCATTTCCACCGGGAGATTAAAAGAAAAAAAAGCCATTTTTCTCCTTATCGATATATGCGCTCATGAAGCCGAACGGAACTGACCTATTTTGTGGGAAAAGAAGGGCTTAGTACGGTTGTTGCACTCCCCTGGTGATGGGCTCCTGGCAAAACATCGCTTGCACTATTATTTCATGACTGTTTTATGACTATTATGACCATTACTTTATGACTATTCTAACGAATATTTTCCAAACAAAATTCGTGTTTTCTCGATAGCAATAGCAATTTGTTTCGCTCGTTAGTTAAAACATCAAGCCACTAGTTTGTCGACAATGATATTGATTGTTAATATTTTTTTTTTTTGAGTCTTTATCAATTCTTCGACATAACCTGTCATTAAATATTCGGGCCATTCTTATTTCAAATACGACTAAGACAAGCTTGGCGGCAGTTAAGATGGCGGCTCGCTTGCCATCTAAGATCTCTAAATTAAACGAGGAGTTATAGCAAGCTTAAAACCAGGACGTTAATTATTAACTTTACTGCTAAAACGAACCAAAAGCAGATTCTGTTTAAAAAAACCGAGACATTCTCAACGCTACATGCAAACTTGGGCCACGTGGAGAGGTCTCGGTCAAAAAATGAAAAATATAAACAACAACCATAACAAAAACAAACAAGAACATGAAGAAACACGAACATGAACTGGGCTCGACTCCAGGACTTCCCGGTTAATTAAACAAGCTTTACGTGGGACGCAGTGGCCTCTTGGTTAGCGCGCTCGCCACCGGATCGAGCAGTCTGGATTCGAACCTTGGGCGGTGACATTGTGTTGTGTTCTTAAGCAAGGCACCTCACTCTCACAGTGCCTCTCTCCACCCAGGATGGTGTAGAAATGGGTACCGGCAAATTTAATGCTGAGTCGAAACCCTGCCATGGACTAATATCCTATCCCGGGGAGAGTACAAATATTCCTAGTCGCTTCAAGCTAGAGAAACTGGAGATGAGCGCTTGCCTAATGGGCCACTTGGCTCGTATACAGACTTTACCTTTTACCTACAGGAAGCCGAGGTGTTTTTCTTGAAATTGTTCATGATTTAAGCTAGAAAAATTGATGTCTAAGACGTTTTTGCCACTGTGTGCATTGTCCTTTTTACCTACATTTCTTTTTCAGACAAAGTGAATTGTTCACGTGACCACACTATCCTGTTTGTGGCCTTTGATTTGGAAGAGAAACAACCTAAGTCCGGCTGCTCTGGAAATTGCTCGTGTCCAGGTGGAAAATGCGGTAGCAGCTTCTTCGTCAACAACTTGACACAGCACCTGACCAGCACTGGAGCGGGATTTCAAGGGGCCTTCATTCTAGAAACAATTCTTAACTACAACAACACAAATCATTCCCAGATTTTTCCAGACGGGCTTAAAAATGTTCTAACGCAAGCGTACACAGAAATCTCGCAAAATATATTCAGAGGGGACTTCTTGGCTTTGATTGGGCGAACCGGTGATGACGGAAAGCTTCTCAGTGCGATTTCAAAAACTTTTAAGAAAAATGGCAAGTATTTGTCCGAAGCTTCTTTCTTGATAGATCGTTTTACGAATAATTACTTTCTAATGGCCAATTCCCTCTGTGAGACGTGCCTGCAGGGAATCATGGTAGCCGTATTCATCATCTTAGACTGCATATTTGTTTTGATGAATACAACTACCATGATTCCCTGCAGGCGCGTCTCATAGAGAGAATTGGTCATTTCAGCGTTGACTATACGCTCACTTGCAAATAGAAAACGCTTTGAAAATGCTTTGTCTACTTTTTTATTTAGTGCAGAATGCATTCATTAAGAGGCCCTGCGCCTAAGAAACGACCGATGATTTCCGGCTAAAAAATAAAATCGGCCGATTTTTATCTCCCAAGCAGAGGTTACCGAATACTATNTCATAGAGAGAATTGGTCATTTCAGCGTTGACCACACGCTCACTTGCAAATAGAAAACGCTTTGAAAATGCTTTGTCTACTTTTTTATTTAGTGCAGAATGCATTCATTAAAAATCAGCCTTTTTGTTCTCAACAGAAACCTTTAAAGCCATTGAAATTGCCATCCCCTCCCTGTTTAGTGGTAGGCCAAGTTTTTGGCCAGAATTCGCCAGAACTAAGCTGGGAGATTTCTTCCGCTCAGACCATTATTACTTCTGGGATGCCAATCCATCGTTGCCAGCGGTCTTCCTTACCGATTCCGCGAATTTCCGGGGATACATGGTACAGTGTTACCATAAGGATTGTGACGACATGAGTCAAGTGACCCAGGAGATGGTGATGTTTTTGGGGCGAACGTCAGCAAGCATGGTGGAATTGGCCACAAGCATGACAAATGAAGCGTGCCAAATGAAGAAAACCGGTAGAGTTAATATCGTGTTTAGACCACGAGTAGTCTCTCTTTCGCTTAGTCCGTCGAGCAAGACGGAAAATAAACAGCGAGGAAAAAAATGGCCGCGGGAAATCCTGGGTTGCGCGAAGAGGGATTACTTGTAGTCTAAATCTTGTGTTATTCTTGAGGTTTTGCCGAGTAGTTTATAAGGTACAGCGCGCAGCTATGTGAGACCATATTCGTATTCTCGGTATTGGACTGGAACTAGCTTGCAACCGAGGCTAATGCGGGGAGTCTTTTCAAATGCAAATGACGTTAATCTCTTTGTAATGATATTCCTCGCATTAGCGTTCATTGCAAGCTAGTTCCAGTCCAATACCGGGAATATGGTCTAATGCCACTTTGTTGAGGGTACTAGGGGTAAGGACATAACGAGCAAAATGTGATAATAGACAGCAGAATTGACAGACAGTTTCAAGAGTTAGGGGACACCATCAGCAGAATGTTTGTCTCAAATCTCTGAGATTTGGCTATTGGTTAAATAAGATGAAGAAAGATTTCACTTCACTAAGTTGAGACGTTATTTTGACATTATTTCACAGATGGATGAAAAACAGGTTTTCTTGCATGAAGGGCATAAAAATGTTGATTGTTTTAGATAAAGAGAAAAGAAATATGGTAGCCCTTTTCGCTCTGTATTGCTTTTGAGATGAAATTAACCGGAAAATGGTACTTTTAGAAATCTCAGTACACATGCATACATTAACTTTATTTCAGCCTTGAAGGCTAATTGTGGACACTAAAAAATAATTAAATCGATGAATTAGCGGATCGAAAAATACATATTAAAATTAAATTATCTGCACCAACGAAAATTTATACAACAGTATAATTAAGTCAAACATCGAAAATATGTAGTATCCTGTGAACATCAGCATGGCCTCTGAAAATGTTTGATACAATCTTTATTGCTAAATGCATTTTTAGGTGCAGCGAGCTACACATCACATCAAAGAATACATAGATTTTGTTCAGTGAAAATCGCAGTCGTTTTGCCAAAAACAAATTTTCATCAATTTTGAAAATGTCGTGGTCTGTGAATACAGCTCGTGGCGTCTCAGCGCTCCTGGTTGAAACACTAAACCAACCGAGAGCGACGAAGAGCGAAAATATTCGCAGAGAAAAAATTTTCTGTTTCTGTTAAAAAAAAACCTCATTATCTTGCGGTACAGGGAAACTTTCTATGACGTTTTATGGCAATGGTGGCTTGAATTCCCAGCAGGGTCTAGAAATAGCCAAACCTGGACAACACAAGGCTGTCACATGCAGTGTCATCATCCTCCACGAAAACATCCACGTAGCGCGCGGGTATTAATAGGCAGTTTAAGAAAACCATAACGGCAACGGGAACGTCGCTAAACAAAAGACAATGAGCAATACAATGGCTGTGTACGTGAGATATAATTCTAGGTACATTTCTTTGCCGTCCTCTGCAAAACAACAACTTGAAATGACTAAATTCTGCGTTGTCCGGAGAACGTGAACCACGGCGGCTAATTTTTTAATTTTTATTTCAAGTGTTTCGCCCCATCCCAGGTTCAGTTTCGTGAGAGTTATGACACTGAGAAACAAAGGAAAATGAATTTAGAGTATCGCGGGATTCTTAGGTACAATATAAAATCGGCGTAGCGTCATGGTTTCTTAAACTCCTTAATATATTTGCGAAAGAACTGGGTACCACGTCTAAAATTAATTTAAAGGAATTACCTTGGGGAAAAGGCTTATATGGAGGTTGAATACTAAACGATTTATGAAATACGGGGAGCTGATTTTCAGATTACGATGAACTCTGGCAAAGTGAATGAAATCTTAACAAATTTTCCTCCTATTATTCTTCGACCCTTATATTACGTTAACAGAGTGCGGTGAAGAAAAAACAGCCGATGACGGAGAAATCCAGACCCCATACTACAACATAAAATATCCTAACAACGTTGACTGCGCATGGACCATCACAAAGGCTGCTGAAGAGAAAGATCTCTGGTTCGGGTTTACAGAGTTCGATCTGGAGGACAGCGTTGACTGTACTGCAGACTATGTTGTTATTCGGGATGGAAAGGATAACAACGCAACGTTGATTGGTAATTACATTTAAATAATAATAATAATAATAATAATAATAATAATAATAATAATAATAATAATAATAAAGCATTTGAAAGTGTACCTCACACGTGGATAATAAAGTGCATGGAAATCTATAAGATCTGCCCTGTGACTGTCAACTTTATCGCAGAAAGCATGAAATGTTGGAAGACAACTTTACACCTCAACCACGTTGAAGGGTCAATGACTATCCCCTAGTGCCCCAGGACCATGGTCTGGTCTCGGCCCTAAGGACTCTAAGTAAACATTACGTGAGGACGATAATAATAATAATAATAATAATAATAATAATAATAATATTAATATTAATAATAATAATAATAAAAACAACAACAAAAACTTTTCCGAGTTTTGGGACGGGCAGTGGATATTGGATCGAGCGGTCCGGATTTTAGCCCTGACTCCTGTTCGGCATCCTTGTGTTATGCTCTTGTCGATTCTTGAACAACGCATTTCCACTTACAGAACTCCATACAATATAAATGTAGTTAAGTGCTGAAATGCCGTTAGGAATCGAACCCTCTGGTTTCTTCGGTCCATTGGTTACAAAGCACATTCCGTTTTCATGCTTATCCTTTCTTTAGTTTATATCCATTCCAGTGACTTCATTATAATCCCTTTGCAGGAAAGTATTGTGGGAAGACTTTACCAGAACCCGTGAAAGCCTCGAACCAGTCCCTGTATATCATGTTTCACTCAGACGAGTTGGACGCTTTCAAAGGTTTCAAAGCAGAGTGGGGTCCATATTATACTGGCCGGAAGACGTCGACACAAGGACCACCTACCATCAAGAGTGCTGCGCATGGTAAGTGTGTTGCTTTGTGAAAAATTGAGATTTAATTGATTTTTGTGGCTAAAGCTGAGCTGAGAAGATCGAAAGAATAGAATGAAACAAGGTAAACAGTCGAAGTGGATCAAGTTCAACTGCTGTCACCAAGAGCGCTGCATCAAGATTTTGCTCGCATGCCTCCAAACATGAGTAGTTTTGGTTTCTGTTGAATTATCTTCAGCGTTGTACCCTATAATAGAGTGGTTTTGTATTGAACGATTGCTAGGAAGTTTTAAAAACAAAATCACTGAACGTAGAGTTCAACTTGTTGGAAAAGCGCGACCTTTTTGAGGGAGTTGGGAAAATTAACTTGTTTCTCGTGAAAAGCAAAGGTGCATGTCAACTGAAAACGATTTTTACAATGGTGTCACTAGGAGGGAAGTAGAGGCTGGCCACCAAAGCATTACCTTACAGCAACAAAAAAGTTCTTTTATAAAGTTCGACGTTACATTATATAAGCCTTGCATTAATTTACGTTTATATTGTGTTTGTTACGTGACAGATGACCATCCAGTAATGTGGCGCCTCATTGGGTTTCTTGCCTTGACGTCATTGGTGGGCGGCCTGTAAACAACAGAAGCCTCGATTTGCTTTTTCTTGTAGTTTTGAGTTTTAGTTCAAAAAGTTGCTATAGTTAGCGGAAAGGGGCTGCATGTGAGATTTTGAGTGTTTGATTGGCGTAAACTATAATTGGTACGTTAAATTGTTTTCAAATTTTTTTTACTAGTGTCTGAAGTAGACTAGCATTTCATCTCCTCAAGGAACTTTACAAAAGGAAAGATATGAAGAGTAAGCAAATTTGTATTAACGTAAGCTGTTGTAAAAATAAGAAAGAAAGATGCTAAACATTACCAAATAAATGCTGGAGTTGAACTTCCAAAAGAAAAGCCCTGTTACTAAGCTTCCCTTTTTTTTGTCCATGTTTTCACCGTTTTCTGTTGTTAAACTTGAATTTGTCGCTGTTGATGTTCTCCTTTACTGAAAGTGGTAGAGTTCTAAAACTTAGATCCTTGTATCTGGCAGGAAAGACGCAAATTTGAGCACGTGACATCAACACATCTCCACCTTTGTGCTTGTCACCAGTGCCATGCCCAGACCGCAGGTCTTCATTTCCAAGTCATGTCATTGTTCGTTAGCAAGACAATTATAATCCGCCTCAATCAAAACATATCGTAGCTGATTCCTGGAGACCCAAAGGTAGTCTGAACGTAAAATTCAGACTGTAAAAACTCTCTTGACAAAGCCGGCAAAACTGGAAAGGACCTCTGTCTTTGATCTGCTCTTGCGCATTGATCCTATGTTTCCCCCACACCCAATCTGCTTAGTGATAGACGTTACTGCCGCTTCTGTTCAGTAGTATGACACAGGTCTCCACGGACACCAACCTTTCCAATGACAATCACAGCCCTTTGTCAATCCGAACCAAGAGTGGGCGTACAGTGAATAGACCGTTCTTTTTATAAAGTAACATTTTATTCAACTGTATGAAAAAACTGAGATACTACGCGCGCTCTCATTGGTCGATAGGTATGTTTAGATTCTAGTATGTAAACATGGTTGTGACGTTTGAGATTCGCGCCTATTCTTTAAAAATATTTTATAAAAGCACAAGTGTACTTTTGCCGTGTTTACATAGTCTCATCTAAACACTTGGGGGATTGGAAGATTTCTCGAAGGCTATGCAAACCCGAGACGCAGTCGAGGGCTTTTCATGATGCCAGTTTTTCATGATACCAATGTCCCAACACTATTCCAACAGACCAGAAGTTACGGTATTCAGTTTATGTAGCATTACTTGACACCTTGATCTTATTTTTAAAACTTGTTTGTGTATAGACTTTTCTTTAGCCATCATCGGGTCAGTTGTTTGTATTATAAGGGTATGTCACAATATGGCTATAGTCACCAGTTCCCTCGCTAGTTATAACTGCACGGCTCTGCGCATGTCAAACAGTTTGC